ACACATAAGAGAGAGAGAGAGAGAGAGAGAGAGAGAGAGAGAGAGAGAGAGAGAGAGAGAGAGAGATGCAAAGCCAACAGCAGAAAGGTAAGCCTGAAATTAGTAAATTTTACTAAAGTACTAATTAGCAATTAAATTACTAATTACTAATTACTAATTAGTAATTAGTAATTAGAGAGTCTAGTGATGGACCCCAGCAATTACTAATTAGTAATTAGTAATTACTATGTTACGTAGTATATAGCACATAGTATATCACTGTGGTAAATACTACATACTACATACTACATAGTATATTAGTACATAGCACATAGTATTTTAGTATGGTACATTATCGTAGATAGAACATCCCACATAGTACATACTATGTACCTGAACGATACATAGTATTTTTAGTATGGTACATTATCGTAGATAGAACATCCCACATAGTACATACTATGTACCTGAACGATACATAGTATATACAATTATTATACAAGTGTCACGTGGGGTCGTCCAGCACATACTTCATAGTATATTACTATGGTACATAGTACATCGTACAGAGTATATACTATGTACTATGTAGTATATACATATGTGACGGGGGTGGTGATCCAGTACATACTACATACATAGTATATTACTATGGTACGTTGGAAATCGTACATACTATATGCTATATCCATATGTGACAGGGGTGGTGGTGTCCACAGAGACGAATGCATCACAACCAGCCCGCTGTCAATAGGAGCTTTAGCCATAAGGTGCTGGTGTAGCAGGACACAAAGCTATAACAAAAAACAAACTGAATAAAAAGCAGTGGAAACAGAGGAAGCTACCAACTGGCCTAGCTCAGCTGGTACACCCCCCCTGGACTGAACTGTTGAAATACAGACCAGGTGCTGTGTTCGAACTCCAGCGGAAGCAGATGAGCAAAAACAGCAATTTTGAATTTTCTGAATTACCTAGGGCCAGTCAGTTCAATCATCAATGACGATATCTGAAGACCGTTCCCCTTATAAAAACAAAAAAGGACTCAGAGGAAGCAGACAAGAAATCCATGCAAGGGGTGGTGGTCCTCACAGCAGAACGAGGCAGTCCTCGCACGCAAGGGGTGGTGGTCCCCACAGCAAGAACAACATGCAAGGAGTGGTCCTCAAGGTGGATTATCACAGAGGAAGTCGACAAAACCAGGCAAAGTGCGGAGACAATAGAGCAACTGTACATGATCTGTACCAGTATCTGTACCAGGATTTAAAACCAGGATTTGTACCAGGATCTGTACCAGGATCTGTAGTTGTCCAGGTGGATTCTCACTGAGGAAGTGGACGAAGCAGGCAAAGTGTGGAGACAAAAGAGCTATTGTACAAGATCTGTACCGGGAGCTATTGTTGTGCAGGGCATTCTCATGGAGGAACTGGGGCCAAAAAAGAGAAAGTATGGGCGCAATACAGCAATTAACCGTACATGTACTGAGCCAAGTTGTCATGGTAATCAAGTTCTCCAATCATATTATACTTAAGACTCTTAGAGCAATCAAGATACTCGACAAGCGCTCAATATACTCAACAAACATTTCTCAAGCATACACCACTTAGACTAACAAGTGCTTGAGATACTCAAGATAAGATACTCGAAGACGAGATCCCAGGATTTTCAAGATCCTCAACATACTCAACATACTCAACATACTCAACATACTCAACCATACGCAACATACTCAAAATACTCAAAATACTCAAAATACTAAAAATACTAAAAATACTGAAGATAAAATACTAAAGATACTCAAAATACTGAAGATAAGGTACTCAAGATGCTTCAGATACTCGACATACTCAACATACTCAACATACTCGAAATAGTAAAATACTCGAGATACTCAAAATACTGAAGATAAAATACTCAAGATACTCAACATACTCGACATACTCAACATACTCAACATACTCAACATACTCAACACACTGAACATACTCAACATACTTAACATACTCGAAATAATCAAAATACCTGAAGATAACATACTCAAGATACTCGAAATCCTGAAGATAAGATACTGAAGATGCCAAAGATAAGATACTTAAGAATCTTAAGATACTCAAAGTCTCAAACTACTCGAGGTACAAAAAAAAAGATACTCGCGATGCCGGTTGCTGCGCATATAGCATCTGAGGATCCTACTCGTTGTAATCAATGATTCGAAAGAATCGAAACCAAATATATTCAACTAAACCACTTCATATTTGAGCTTCAATTAACATACTCAAGATAAGATACTCTCAAGATAAGATAAGATAAGATAAGATAAGATACTCAAGATAAGATAAGATACTCAAGATAAGATAAGATATTCAAGATAAGATAAGATAAGATACTCAAGATACCCAAGATATGTGAGTGTGTGATACTTACAGATGTAACTATTACGTGACTGGCGCCTGCATCAAGGTACACTCTGGCGTTTTCGGCATTGATGCCTCCACCGACGTGCATGCCACCTGAAACTACAGCAGTCAGAAAAAGAAAAAAGAAAAAAGAAAAAAGAAAAAAGAAAAAAGAAAAAAGAAAAAGGAAAAAAGTCCGAACAGGAACCAATTCCAAAGCACTCCAGAGTCCATACATTGATTGTCATTATTTATAATTATACATTCAAAAGACAAAAACTTGACGGAAAAAAAATAAAATATTTAAATTAAATACTAAATTTAATAAAGAAATAAGCTCAAGTAAGTTGAAGTAACTATTGTGGAGCCGTGCCTTTACGTTTTCGATGTTCAATCAGGACTCTTAAAGTACGCTTTTGTTGCGGCCTGAGTTTTAAATGCAAAAGGAACTCAGGCCTTCAGCAGTTTTTTCATGGCCACTTCAGCCAGTGCCACTTGGGTTGCGGTACCGTTCGTGACTGAACTGCCTATAGGAGAACCGTGCGGTGTGGTGTCTGCCAGATGCCTTCCCCTTACTGCCAGCAACTCAAGAGGTACACCATAGCCATCTTATAGACGATCCTGCTTCTTGGTCGAGCAAGTGGCTATGGCGGACTATCGGACTGAAGCTCCGATGTTCAAAGGACAACGCAAAGCTAATGTGTCCCTCCTACTATGGCCGCGAAGCCTAGCACTACCCCCAGAGTCTTTTTCTTGTAGGTGTCAACCCCAATGGGGACCTTCCAGGTGCAGCGCCAACCAAGAAGATGAAGATGCAGACCACCATAGCCAGGTAAGCTTCCTCGTCACTCTCCTCCTTGCTCACCATCTTCCTCCTCTTACTACTACTACTCCCCCGGAGTCTCCTTCTTGGTCCTCTCCACCATAGCTGTGAGCGCTGGCTCCAGCTGCGTGTCGCCAAACTTGCACCGCGCTGCAAATCAGGCTGAGCCTCCTGCCTTCAGCGAAGATATGCCAGAGTATTGCCTCTTTGCGCGTTGGCTTCAAGGCCACACGGCCTCCCAAGTCTCCCAGTGAGTACCTCTGTGAATTGGAGGAAACAACATCATTGCAGACTGATCCCCTCCGCAGGCCCTAGACTCAGACTACTGGACCAGTACCCCTAGACTGTAAGCCGACCGGACTTCTGAAGTTCACTTCCGCCTCTAAAGGTACTACCTTTTTGTCTTCTTCTGCCTACCTACCCGCCGCTACTACCTATGCAGGCCTGGCCTACTTCTAATCCCCCCCGCTGCGCCATCACAACCGCACGCCAAATACCAGGCCCATAGGCCTTCCCAGCACACGAGCACCTGTTGCGGGTCACACGCACCCCAAGCAATCATGCAGTCAGGCAAACACACGGAAACTCATCAATCATGCACACACACACACATACTTAGAAATCTCAGCAGAAGACGGGAATCTCACCAAGTCACTCAATCCAGCAGCAAAACTCAGAAAACAGCAGGTCTTTCAGTCTGTGTGCATGGCTGTCTGCGTGTCTGTCCAGATCTTAACAGTGAGCTTAACAACTCACCGGGATAAGCAGCAAGTGCTCCGAGAGCGGCCGTCTGACTGGCGGAGTCAGCTCCAAGCATGATGACGTGGCCACCGTCCAGTCCATCATTGGCATAAAGTCTGGCGTATTCTGCGGAAGACTTCTCAGACTCAAAATTTGTCACTGGCTCTTGCTCGTTGGCTGCGGCAGTTGCCGTGCCGTCTCCGTCATCGTGTGACGGAAGGTCCTTCAATGTAGAGCCAACAATCTGTTTCACCTTCCCCTGCACAGTATTTTGCAGTATCCGAAGTTCGTCATTTGGAGGGTAATCATGCAAGTTTGTCGTTTGGAGGGCAATCATGCAAGTTTGTCGTTTGGAAGGCGATCATGCAAGTTTGTCGTTTGGAGGGTAATCATGCAAGTTTGTGGTTTAGAGGGTTTAGTTTGTTGTTGGGAGGGCAACCATGCAAATTTGTCGTTTGGAGGGCAATCATGCAAATTTAGTTTGTCGTTTGGAGGGCAACCATGACAGTTTGTTTTTTGGAGGGTAACCACGTAAGTTTGACGTCTGGAGGGCAACCATGAAAATTAGTCATTTGGAGGATAATCGTGCAAGTTTGTCGTTTTGAGGGTAATCATGCAAGTTCATCATTCCCCCCAGGCACATCCACAAAAAAAAGGACACATGCAAGACAAAGCTGTCAGATGCCAAAAATGGGTTGATTGATTAGGTGGGGGAGAGAGAGAGAGAGAGAGAGAGAGAGAGAGAGAGAGAGAGAGAGAGAGAGAGAGAGAGATGAGGCTCCTCCCCCCCACCCCTCCTCTGTGAAATGACTTGAAGGTGTAGAATACAGCACACGTGAAATACCTCTACTTTTGGCTGCTGCTGCACCTACTGCAGCAGATCCAGCAGCACCTGCAGCAATTGCAGCTGCACCTTCAGCCGCGGGAAGTGCTGCGGCTGCAGCAACTGCTGCATGTGGAGAAGGACACCCTTTTCGTCTTTTTCTTTGTGCAGGCGTAGCCCGCACCCCGGGCGCTAAGCTAGTCAAGATAATGGACGAAGCTGCAGTGATCTGACTCAAGTGGACTCTAACTTGGCAATCATGCTAGTTCCCAAGGTTCACACCACACTCACAGAGCAAAGCAACGAGACAGATATCAGAAGAAACTTCGAGTTGTTATTCCAAATTACAAAATTGCTGCAATTCTCCGAACCCAAGTACCCTGCGGCTATGGCCACCAACATGAACACTCTCAGGTATGTCCTCCAACTCTCTCTCTCTCTCTCTCTCTCTCTCTCTCTCTCTCTCTCTCTCTCTCTCTCT